TACTGTCCCGTCATTTTATGTACTGTCCCGTCATTATATGTACTGTCCCGTCATTATATGTACTGTCCCGTCATTTTATGTAATGTCCCGTCATTTTATGTACTGTCCCGTCATTTTATGTACTGTCCCATCATTATATGTACCGTCCCGTCATTTTATGTACTGTCCCGTCATTGTATGTACTGTCCCATCATTATATGTACCGTCCCGTCATTTTATGTACCGTCCCGTTATTTTATGTACTGTCCCGTCATTTATGTACTGTCCCGTCATTTTATGTACTGTCCCGTTATGCCTTATTTGATCTTTATATGTACCGTACAGTCTGCTCAAGCTGCTTAAAATTCGGACCGGTACTTGAACCGAAGTTTACATGAGCCCCCATCTCTTTTAGACATAAAGCTCAATGGGGGTAGGGTATAGGGAAAATATTCTGCATATTTTTATGTTTTAATTTTTTTTTAAAAGTGGCATATTTTGTTAAAGTTGATCTGTCTTATTTTAAAGATTTGACATGTATAGTTGACTCAGCTGGATTAGTTTTCAAAGCGTTCGCAGAAGACTATAAACCTAAAATGCATCTTAGTCATCATATTTTATGAATAATGTACTTTTTCTTATTTAATCGGGGTATTGCCCAATGTTTCTAAAGGGGTTTACACTTTGATGTTAAATAGTCTTTTTTCAAGGTTTCTTGAGAGTTAGGATTGAAATAATTTCCTCAGTTGATAAGATAATGTGATAACCAGAAGAATGAGACACATTAATTGTGCAGAGTGAACAGATTTCACTCTAGCAATTTTGTAAGTGTCTATTTACACTAAAAATATTTACTTTGTAACAACCTCAGATAATCTTAAGTATTGCTATAATGTCGTCTTCCTATTCCATTGCTTTCTGGTTATCTATTTTTTACATATAATCATAAGTCTTTAAAGGCAACAACAAAATAAAATTTATTGTAAAATCTAAAATGTTGAAATGACAGTGCAAACCAATTTATTTTCAGTTGTTATAGAGACTGTAGGTATAATTTTAACATTTCAAATGACCCTCAAAAAAGATGGCGATTCCAGATTCACACCGGTACCCAGTTGAAACCTTGTCTGTTTAATATAGGATGGAAAATATTTTTTATCTTTCTTATTTTAAAAGTGTTTGCTTAAAAAAGTTTCTTAATGTTTTTTCCTCAAAAAAAATTGTATTTGAAAATTATCAAAAAAGTTTTTTTCATTCAAAATGTTTAAATGGATATCTAAAGATGCGTCAGAAGCCGCTGAATACTGTACATCTGTTTGCGTTTCGATATTTTTACAATTGTTTGAACAAAGGCAAAAAAAGGATTTTTCTATTTTGAACTAATTTTTGGCTCAAACTCAGTTTTTAACCTTTGAACATGTTCAATTTTTAGCCGACTTTGATTATTTTGACGTTTCTGAATTCAGTGCTTCAATACGAATCTTGTGATACCCTATTCTCAGGGCAATTGTGCAAATGTAATTATCAGCCCCCTGTAAGGTCATTTGAAAAGTACGCGTTTCTTTAAGAAAAACTTCAAAAAAAGCAATTTTTAAATAAAGATGGAGAAATTTAGTTTAACATAACAGCTGTTGGAAGTGCTCTTTTTCACCTTGAAACTGAAAAATAGAGACATAAAACTGTTTTACGTGTTTTCCTAGGAATACTAGATTAAAAACAAACAAATATAGAAAACAAAAAATATAAAAGAGCCTTAGAACTCTGAGTAATTATATCATGATTTAATTTTTTTCAGTCAATTCTAACTCTTAATTTATAGTCTGTATATCTTTACAATCTGATTGCGCAGAGTTTTATATTTTAATCTTTGGAACCTGAGTTCGTGAATATTGAGATCAAGAATTGTATTCGATATTTTGCCAGTGTATTAATCTTAAACCGATATGGATCAAATTGTATAAAATTCAACTCACGCAGAAAACAAACACAAAACAAGCAAAAAGTAAATGTATTTAGATGAAGAAGAAATAAAAATAAATCATCTAAGTATTTTGGCCTTTCAAGTTTTAAGTGGAAATGAAAAAGTTTATGATTTTAATAAAGTTTTGATCGGATTCTTCACATATTTTTTATTGCATTTTGCAAAATTTTGAATAGAATTTTGCAAAATTAAAATACATGATTCCTACTCTAATTGTATGTTTAAACAAATAGTTCAAACAGTTCATACTTTGACTATTTGTTTTAATAGAACAGAGAATTTTGGATACTCAACATCCCGATCGCTAGATCTCGATATCCACGGTGGACACTTTTTTTGCAGAATCTGCAGAATCATGAATTCGGATTTCTGCAGTTTCTCTTTTCTCCGATTGGTTGAACTCTAAAATTTTGGGTTTCTGATTTGATGTTTGTTTGTGTGCTTTCTTCTATATAATAAAACAAGACATTTATATATATGTTCCCTCTGGCCGACCAAACGGCTGGACCGAATGGGGGAAAACTTTTTTGTGGACATTCATGGGTAGGCGGGGGGGTTGACACAGGCAAAAAGAAATTGAAATTTTTTTGCACAATTTTTTTTTCCCCGGGCAACGCCGGGCCCTTCAGCTAGTCTTCTAAATAATAAAACAATGCATTCATATAAATGTTCCCTCTGTCCGGCCAAACGACTAGACCGAATGGACTTAATAGGTAGCATGGAAGTTACATAGGTTAAACAAATTTTAAATTTTCTTTTCTTCAGAAATTCAACATTTTTTTTATCGAAAATTGTTTTCTTAATAGAAAATTTTTTCTTCAAAAATCCAATTATTTTATTTCAAATTTGATTTTTTAAAATTCCACGGGCAGCGCCGGACCCTGCAGCTAGTATCCAATAAACGTCAAAACGGCTGAATCAATCATACCCAAAGTTTTTTTGGAAACTCACATGACGCCAGGGAAGGCTTCAGGATAATAACAGATGAAATATTTACCCCAGAAAAAAATGTTTACATTATGAAATTAAAATGCTCAAAATTTTAAAAGGAAAATTCGTTAAATACGATTTACAATCTAAAATGACAGCTTTAAGAACAACGGAAAACTAAAACTGTGCCCTAGGTCTATTGCCTTTGAAAGACTGAAGGTAATTAATTTTCATCATCACCTATTAATTATTAACAGCATATTTCTTATAAGAGGTTTCTCTAGGTTTACTTGCTGGGGAAGATTTATGGTATCAAATTTTAAATTTCTAAATTTCTAAAACTTTTAAAGCACTATAAGTTTTCGCAAAAAAGATAATAATCCATAAATAATCTAGACAAATTTTAATTTCGATGTTGGACTAAACGTAGACGAATTTTAAAATCTTCAAATTATTCTTTCCTTGTTAAAAACTTTTACAAATAATCTCCCAAGGACAAAGTACAAATTGTAACTAATACGCAATATGTATTAAGTCTCAAGAAAACAATTTCTTGAAAGTATTTTTTTAAATGACCTATTAGATTAAATATGAAATTTTTATCAATATCAAGTAATTAATTTGTGGAATCGTACATTTGGAAAATTGTACATTTTGGGAAGTTGTACATGTGCTAAACTGAACATATATGAAACAGAACATTTTGAAAATTTAACATGTGAAAAATGTGTTCTTGGTAAATTTTATGTTTGAAAAAGTACATTTGGGAGATTGCATTGCTGGGAAATTAATATCATACATTTGGGAAATCCAAATGGTGGAATTTAGATATTTGGGAAAATGTTTACTTCAGAAATTGTACATTTGGGATAGAATTAATTTGGAAAATTGTGAAAATGGGAATTAGAACTTTTTAAATTGTATACAATTCAAATTTGAGAAATTTAGGGAAATTGTACATTTTGAAATAGAAAATTTTAAATCAAAATCAAAATCTGACAAAAAAGTCTAATATCAAAACCTGACAAAAAGGTCTAATATCAAAACCTGACAAAAAGGTCTAATATCCAAACCTGACAAAAAGGTCTAATATCAAAACCTGACAAAAAGGTCTAATATCAAAACCTGACAACAAAGGTCTAATATCAAAACCTGACAAAAAGGTCTAATATCAAAACCTGACAAAAAGGTCTAATATCAAAACCTGACAAAAAGGTCTAATATCAAAGGTCTAATATCAAAACCTGACAAAAAGGTCTAATATCAAAAATATTTTTCTTGTTAAAGTTTTGTAAGGCAATAAATAATAAAGCACATCTTATTTTTGTATTGAAAATTTAATTCATTTCTTTTGAGTGAAATTTTAGAATTTCATTTATAAAAGAAACCTAGATATAGGGTTAGCTAAGTTGTTAAAAGATCAAACTGAATATTTATATATTTTGATGAATTCGAAACCAAATCTTCAAATTCTATCCACTCCATTTCTTTCCAATGCATACTAGAGAATCATGTCTAGAAATGCAAATCATCAGACAAGCTTAAAGAGACTGTTTAAGAACCTTCCAGGTTTCCGTGAAAGATGGCAGTTTAAAATTGAAACTTTGATCTGATAAAAATGTCAATTTTGCATAGAAACCACAAAAGAAAAGAAAACGATAGATAAACCAAGAAATGAATTTGTCTTGATCATATTTAAAGAGAAAAATTAAGTTTTAGAGGTACCGGTGTAGATCGGGAATAGCGCTTATATAGTCCCTTTAAATAAAATATATATTCATGATGAGAATAAGAGAATAAAAGAATAACTTTCTTTCAAAAGGAATATTTTCTTTAAAAGAACGTTTTTAAATTTTTTTATCAAGATTTTTAGAAAACAAAAATAGTTATAAGTTCTTTGGAAATGCATATGGCCGGGAAAAGTTTTGACATTTTTAAAATTTTGAATCGATTTGCAGCTTCGAAAATACTTTGCTCCTAATATTTTGATCAAATTTAATAATTTAACAGTTTTCTGTTGGCTTTTTAAGCGATCACTTTTTTATAAAAACAAAACATTATGCTATAAAAGTTTGTACCTCACCGAATATTATGACTTGATTAAAGAAATATCAATTGATCTTCACAATTTCAGTTTAAGTTAAATTTTCTTAAATCTTCGTGGGTTCTTTTAATGGCAAGAACTGTCTGATTTGTTTTAAAACGGATTAAAAAATGAATTACTAAATCTAACGGTCCTAAATTTATTCTATTTAAAGTGCAGTATCGTAGAGAAAGTTTTTAGATTTAATTTGAGTAAAAATAATTGGCTTGTGTAGAAACAGGTTAAGAAAAAAATGTCCTCTTATTATTGAAAATTATAATTCCTTATGGATTCAGACTTTTATTGCAATTATTTCGGCCTGCGCTGTAATCGATATTCTTAAACGATTAAAGCTTATAAGATGGCATTTGAAGAAATTGCAAATACAGTTTTAGAGAAGATAACGATTGATAAATAAAATTAATCGATTCTCCCAATTGACTTTCATCGATAATTTTTTTTAAAATATTTTCTTATACATGTTATTATGTATCTGTAGAATTTTTGTTACATTTTTTACTATTTATATATCATTTTTATCTATAAATTTAAAAAATATAGATTTTTAAAATCAACCCTCTAGAATGGACAATTCAGGAGTATTTTTTAGATTGAATTTGCACTCTTGTTGAACAACTCTATACCGTACAAATGTTGTAAAGGTCTCAAATGAAACTAGAAAAATGCTTCTATACCCAATGCTGCACTGTCATCTCAACAAAAATGTCGAGCCGGTCATCCCCTTTAAAGCCAAGTATATTAACTAGATTTTTCTCTTAAAACAAATTATTAGATCGGGGGATTATCATTCCCTCTTCTCAAATTTGATCACAGATTCTTTTTCCAAACTAAATTAAATCTGAAATCTTTCAATACTTCTTCTTCTCCTTAATATCTCTATTCTCTTCACTTGTATGCACTAAACTCTGTATGTAGAAATTGAAGAATTGAACCTAACTTTCTTATTAAATTCTTCCAGGATTCAAACTTATCACTGCGTTTTAGCATAATTAATTTATTCATTATTTTGAGAATTTTTGAATAAAATTAATTAAATTTCGATTATGTATTTTTACCAGCTGTAGGTATGGAAGCTATGTGAGCTAGAATAAAGTTTTACATTTTTATTTTCTAACAAATATAATTAAAATGTCGAATTGTTTCTCTTGCAATTTGTTTAACTTCCAGGACGTTAAGCGTAGTTTCAAGCGAACATCCAAGCAATTCACGATTCACATTGGTACCCGACCATAATGCTTTGTCTGATCCATCACGCACTTCTTGACCCTTTAGTAAAAGTAAATTCAACCTAAAGTCTGACCGCGTCAACCTTGTTGCACCGGCTAGTCCTATTGAGTCCCTGCTTTATTTACCCAATGTCTGGGCGATACAGTACAAACTGGGACCGAAAAGATTGACCCGGCTCGGAAATTCAAATGTACTACGGCTGCCCGTTCCATGCAAATAATATTCAAAGTATTATTTTTAATTAATCAACGTAAACACATTTAAATTACTTTTTGCAACGTTTTGTAAAATACAGTGGTACGCGATTATATAAATACAATAAAGACGACTTTATCATTTGAGTCTTGACATCTTCTCTGTTTTTCCATTTTTATGTGTTTCTATACTGTTTAAATGCTCGATAAAAACCAAAATTGAAAAGTAATCTTCATTGTATTGATATAATCGCCTACCACTGTATATTAAGCCAATAAGAAGAAATTATTGTTACCTAATTCTCTCAAATTGATATGAAAATCATCAAGCCAGAAGTCAGAACTTATTGTTTATCTCGGGATCAAGCATTGATCATAATCTTATGAAGACCTACTGACCTATTTCATTCTTCTTTGATAACTTTAATTGATCTTCACATTCAAAAATGCTCATATTGAGTATCTAGATTAAATGTTTGATTAACGATACTCCACAGGTGAGTTGTGACCTCAGTCAATCTCTATAGACTTATCATTAGTGTCTTCTTAAAAAAAAAGTTAAAAAGTGATTATTTACAATTGCATTATAAACTTGGGTTCATACCAAGTACAGGGCCGACTTTAAAGCAGCTTATGAGAAAGCTGTACATAACACACAATTACACTGTAATAGAAAAACGGTACGGTACACCAAATGAATCAGCCCCTTCTAGGGAAATTCTAATGTGATCATTACAGAATTCAAGGTTGGAAAAAATTGCAGTAATTGTTTCGTTATTTCTCTCTTTACAATAGTTTCAAATTTCTGCTCAAGTTTATATGTTCAGTAATTTTCCGTTCATTTTAAAAGGTTGAACACTTATTTATAAAATCTTTTTTTTTTCTCTCTTTTAGATAGTTTTCAAATTCTTCTCAAGTGTCCTGCTGTTTACAAGGTTTGTGAAAAGTGCAGTAATTGTGTCCTTATTTGCCTCTTTCAGATAGTTTCCAAGTTCTCCTCTAGTGATATATAGTGTAATGCAAGAATGGAAAGATATCTGGGAGAAAGAAAACTATGTCAGGATTCCAATACGGTAAGAACTACTCTCCTCTAAAACCCACTATTTGATATATCTTCGGTCAGTATACTGCAAATCATTGAAGAACACACCGAAAGCTTAATCGAGGGTAGAAACACTTTTTAATAGCAAAGTAATTGAGTTTTTTCCACAAACTCTGATTTTTTCATTTTTATATCTTTGCAACCCCCATTGTCGTAGACCTTAGTGATTTCAAACTATGAATTATGTTAGATCAAGTAATCTAATCAGGTTACAAAAATGTTTGTTTATTAACGAATTTCCAAAACTTTTCAAGTTTACCCGAGAAAACTGTAAAAAAAATCAAATGAGTTGGTCTTGAAAAAAAAAGGAAAAGCAATTTCAAAATTGATTTTTCTTATTAATGGTTTAATTGCAAGTTAAATGTTTTTTTGTAATCAAAGTATTTTAAAAATTTGCTTGATAACCATGATTTTGTCTCAATTTATATGAATTGCTTCGTGGAATTTTATTTCTAATATTTAACAAAAAATGTAAAATCATGCTTATTTAGCAAGGAAAACCTGCAATCTTTTCAATTCAATTCAATTCAATATTGTTCATTAAATTAGCAAATTTAAAAAAATCTGCCAAGAAATGTTTTGGTACAAAATCTGGAGAATTTCATTGGGCCAATTCTATAATTTTTCTCGGGACCAATTCTATAGTATTTCTAGAGACCAACTCATTCAGTATTTCTCGCGGCCAATTTTATTGTTTTTCTTGTAACCAATTCTATAGTATTTTTTAGGACTATTATTTAGGATTTCTTGTGAGTTGTGACCAATTCTGGGACTCAATTATATAGAAATTCTTGAGACCAATTCTATAGTATTTCTTGGGACCGATTCTATAGTATTTCTTGGGACAAATTCTATAGTATTTCTCGGGGCCAATTCTATATTATTTCTTGGGACAAATTCTATAGTATTTCTCGGGGCCAATTCTCATAGAAAATAAAATATATAGAGAAGAATTTACCAGAAAAAAGTGTAAAACGGCCATTTTGTTGTACTGTTTCCATACTGCAGGTGTACTTCACATATTTATGCTTTATAACCTGTTGGGCCCTGGAATATCATTTTATAGAAAATCTAAAATTATTGTTAAAAGGAAGCCAAATTATGAATTAAGCTGGTTTCATAATTGACCAATGATCATTTCACATAGACTTTATGCCTTCCACTTTACAAACGATGATTTTCCGTTATAACTATATAAATCAAATGATGTTTTTATTGACCTAATTCATTATAAAGTTTATTTAACAGTTTAAAAAATTTGAAATTTAAATGGATAGTATAGGGAACATACTGTATTAATGTACTCTACTGCACATAATTTGTGAACATTTACATGATTTGTACACTTTGAACTCCCTTTCAGGCTGAAAGGGACTGAAAAAATTCATACCGAGAGATTCTTTTAATTCCTCTCTATATATTCTATTCTCTATGCCAATTCTATAGTATTTCTTAGGATCAATTCTATGGTATTTCTTAGGATCAATTCTATGGTATTTCTGTGGAAAATTATTTAGTAATTCTCGGCTAAAATTTCATAGTATTTTTTGAGACCAATTATGTTGAATTTGTTGAGAGTTGGTTCAATTCTAGAGAATTTCTCTGAATCCAGTTATCTGTAGTTCTTGGAACCAATTCTTTAGAATCTGTAATTCTTGGAACCGATTCTTTAGAATTTTTTTTTAGAAATTTGCAGAATTTCTTTGGACAAACTCTGAAGAATTTGTAAAGAAATGTTTCTTATCAAATTCTAATTTCGATTCACAGTGAGAACCTTTTTTATGCGAACATTAACTTAAATGGTGGAACATTAAATCAAATTATAAAAGTATTTAAAAAAACTTTAAAAAGTAATATTTCAGGGTTGGAAACCTAACCTGGCCAACCAACAGTACTCCTATAGAGGAAGAACAGATCCAAGTATATTCTTCTTTCCAGGTAAAAATCTTCATGTAAGCTTCATCATTACCATCATCATCCACTATTTTATATTGTTAGATTAATAGATAAACAATGTGTGTGCTTGAGTGTCAATTTTTTAAAGAAATATTTTTGTGAATATTTTTTTCAAATGACAACAAATTAAATTCCCTAAATAAAATGATAATTTCCAGAACACTGCAAACCAAGGAGTGCACGTTCTCACACAAAAATCAGCCGTAGTGCAAAGTACTCCTTCTGCATAGGCAGTCGTAGTACATTAGAATTTCCGAGCCGGGTCAACTTTCCGGTCCCAGTTTGTACTGTACCTAGCTCTAAGGACAGGACAAGGCGGTGCAACTAGGTTGACGCGGTCAGACTTTATGCTTCATAAAGGTTGAATTTACTTTTACTGAAGGGGCAGAGGTGCGTGTCTGAATTTGTGCAAGAAACACGTACAATAATTTACATACACAAGGGCTACACTACAGTTTAAGTGAGTTTATGAGGAAAAACCGAAGGGCAAAGCGTTGCGACACTTTAAACTCAAGGGTGTCTAAAAAAAGTTTCAGAGATGTCTATATATTAAAGTAAGAAATGTTCAGATGTTTTTATGTCAAGCCTTTAAAAATAACAATTTTAAGGAAGGGGTTCAGTTTGTAAGATAAAGGAGAGTAACGAGCCTTTGTTACAAGCCTCAAAAGAAATTAATCTCTAGAAAAGTTAACTCAAGATATATTTACATTTTTTTACAAAGAAAATCTCTAAATTTTGCAAACTCTGGGCAGAATAATTCAATACTTGATTTGGTATTCTTTTTTAAAAATCTAATAATTAAAGCATAGAGTGAATCTAAAAATATTTAGTTTTTACTTGTTTTCTCAGAAATTATTGATAACAGGTTTTCTGTTCTTGTTATTTTTATTCCTTGTCATGTTCATCAGTTCTTGACTCTTTCTGTCTTTCTGTCTTTGTTTCTTTGGAAAAATTTAACTTTTAGCATTCGAAGTTTACTATCAACAAATGTTTTAAAACACACATAATTTTCATTCGCCCCCTTTTAAAAATATAAACACTTTCTTTTGTATTATGGTTTTGCAGGTTGTTGCTATAGCAGTGATATCGGGCTTCTTCTCCTTTCTTACAATCCTGGGAAATATAATGGTAATGTATTGCATTTATTTGAGCAATTAATTTTTTAAATTCTCATTATAAAGGAATTGAGTCTTTGCCACTAACTCTGATTTTCTAATCCCTATATCTACTTAACCCATTGTAGTAGACCTTATATATTTCAAACTATGATTTATGTTTTATCAAATAATCTAAGTTTGAAATATAAAAAGTTTACACAATCAGGTTACAAAGATATAGAGATTAGAAACTTTGAGTTTGTGATAAAGACTCAATTTCTTTATACATTAGGGCACACAATTATTCTAATAGAGTTACAGTATTTGCAGTATTTTTTCTTTTTTTGAAATGGGTCTGTTTCATCTAGTTTTCTAACTAATATAAAGGGCACATCATTTCTGATCTTTTATGACTCCAAATTTTGATTTTCGTGACTAATCAGAAAATTTAGAAAGATCTATTTAAAAATTAAATAAGCCTAATATAAAAATGTTATTGCAGAAATATTAGGTTTTATGAGTACGTATTATGCGAGTGTTTTAAATCTTGAAGACGGTCGGCGAGAGTGTTTGTATGAAAATGTTATAAAGGGACGAAAATGATTTCTTAATTTGATTATAAATAACTTTTTTTCTGATTTTTTAGGTGATGATATCCTTCAAGCTGGACAAGCAGCTGCAGACCATCAGCAACTATTTCCTGTTCTCCTTAGCTGTAGCTGACTTTACTATTGGAGTATTCTCTATGCCAATGTTTACCGTCTACACTGTTGTAGGTTAGTTTGAAATAGATTTTAAAGAAACTGTTTGCTAAACTTTTATGAAAAATAGCTCAAACTTACACTGTGTGATCTCTATATCCACTATTCAAAACTTTAAACTTTAAGAGATTTTAGTTATTTCTGCAGATTTCGATCACCACGATTTTGAAAGCGGCAAATTCCCTATTGCTATTTGTCAAACAAAATAAAGAAAATCAGCGTAATTTTCTGTTTTTAAAATGTACGAACAAAAAATGTTCTAAAAAACAAAATTTGTATTGTAAACAGACCCTATTAACAAGTGATTATAATTCACTAATATCGCCATGTTCTGGTTCTAAATGTAGTTTTTTGTTGTCGTTTCTTAAATAAATTTTTATTAAATTTTTAGGATTTTGGCCATTTGAACCATTTGTCTGTGATACTTGGCTTGCAGTGGATTATCTAGGAAAATATTCAAATTAAATTTTAAAAATACAAAAAAAAATGTTGCCGCTTTTTACACTTCCAAAGACATTTGCATCATTTCATTTATTTGAACAGAGGTCATTAAGTTAGATAAACCAATAAAGAATAGCCTCTTGTTGTTATGATTTTTTATTTCCTATACCTTTGCAACCTGATTACGATGTCAACCTTTAATATTTTAAACTATGACCCACTTGTTTAAGCTAAATGCAAAATTTAGAACCGGAGAGGTTTTATTTTATCAATAACTTTCTATGTTTCCCAGAGAAATCTATATATTCAAATTTCTACTGAAGTTTTCTTGTCACTGTAAAAAACATTTTCTGGCATTTTTCTATTCTGAACAAAAGTAAAGTGCGAAAAATACAAATGTAAAAATGTATTTTCTAAATATGTTGGATTAAATAAATTAAATTTTGAATATGACAAATCAGTGAGTAACGCAAGTGTTATGAATCTTCTTATCATATCCTTTGATAGATATTTCTCTGTAACCAGGTTAGTAAATTGATAGTACTTATTAACCTAAAGGAGTTGAGTTTTTGCCACAAACTCTGATTTTCTAATCTCTATATCTTTGTAACCCAATGTCGTAGACCTTAGATATTTCAAACTATTAATATATTTCTCTGTAACCAGGTTAGTAAATTGATAGTACTTATTAACCCTAAACAGGATGGGGGGGGGGGGTTTGGCACCCTCCCCCCTGTAGTTTTTTGTCATAGCACTCTCATTTTTGACAATATCACCGTGAAATTTTGTGACTTTTAATGAATAGTAATTTAAAGAATTTTTGTAAAACATTTTTTTTTAATTTACAGGGTAGGGTACAGGGTGGAACAAAAATCCCGTCTGTGAAAAAAAAATAATCTAAAATACCCCCTTACTTTTTTGTGTCTAAAGCTACAGATTTAAAAAAACTATATTTTTGAAAAGCCTTTTGAAACATGTGTCACTTTGATATTTGTTTAAAACAAAAAAAATATGTTTTTTAACTTTTTTTGATCCTTTTATAGCCATTTTTTCCACCCTTCCTAACACCCAAACTGTTAAAGTTATCGGTCTATTTTTTTCTTTGAGCTGGCCATGAAAAATTGGGCTATGAACATGAATTTTCAATTTAAATTTTGATTTTTAAGTTTAAAATTTTCAGACCTTTGTCATATCGAGCAAGACGCACAACTAGAAAGGTATGATTTAATCTATTAAGGAACCATTTGTCGAAATTTGACAATGCACACTTTTGATAAATGATCAAAACTAAAAATAATGTTCATAATAATGTTTATTAAAATAATAATGAAATAATAATAATAATAATAGCACACTTTTGATAAATGATCAAAACTAAAAATAATGTTCATAATAATGTTTATTAAAATTATAATAATCAGGCAGCAACAATGATTACCTCTGCCTGGGTTCTCTCCTTGATAATCTGGGTTCCCTGGATCTACGCCTGGCCTTATATAGAAGGAAACAATACCATATTTAATATTTAAAGGGAGTGTGCGCAATAAACAAAAAGGGGTACCATATATAATGTTTAAAGGGGCGTGTGCAAGTACAATAAACAAAAAGGGGTGCTTTATTACTTAAAGGTAGTGTTTGCGATAAATGATCAGTTGGCCAAAAAAGGAAGTATTCACGCGTGACGAAAAGGGATGTTTCATTCGAAATTGAAAGGAAAGGTTCGCGATAAACGAAAAATAGTACTATATTTAATTTTTAAAGAGGTATATGATCTAAATCAAAGTAATACTAAGGATATGAAGGTGAAAGAGGTTGTTTTTTGTACACATTTTACCATATCGAATTAGGACTATATTCATATTAATAAAAACATTTACAGAGATTGTATCCAAATATCGGAAAAGAAAGTAAATCTTTACCGAAAAATCAATTTTCTAAAATATATTTCCTTTTGTGCCTGAAAGTGTAAAGCTTTGATATTTTAAACTTAGATTATTTGATCTAACAGAATTTATAGTTTGAGATATGTAAGGTTAACAACATTTGGTTGCACAGATATAAAGGATGAGAAAATTAGAGTATCTTGCAAGATGTTAATGTTTACTGATTTTTGTTTTATTTACCTTAAACCAGTTTGTCATTGTTGAAAAAAATAAAAGCAAATTATACCAAATCCCCCCCCCCAAAAAAAAATACTCATTTCCACCATGGTCAATGAAAATTGGAAAGAATTGCTTCATTTCTTTGAAGTAAATGGATCTAACGAATAATATCGCTTTTGTGTAAAAAACTAAAATATATCCATTTAATATTATATTTTATCGATGACCATAAACATTTATTCTTTTCAGTTTTACAAGACAGTTTTGCAAAAGATAAAAAAAAGAAATAAACATAAAATCAAAGCAATTAATGGTTTTCTTGTTGAACTCCATGTTTTGGTTGAGGAAAAAATCATCTGAGGTTGGAACTCTGAAGTGTATGGAGTAGCGATAATTTTGAACAATTGATCTTGATATCCAAGTTGGAACTTTCAAATTTGACGATAAATGCTAGGTCCCTAAATGAAAGTTATCCCTGTAGAATTGATCGCCAGGGGTTTTTAAAGATGAATAAAGTTAATCATTACAAGAAAATCAATACTTAATCACATGATTCAAAACTCAAAAATTATGACTTCTGAATTTGATGAATTAAATCCGCCAAGAACAGGTTTTAATTGAGCGCCGGCTTAAATCATGAAACAATGAATATAATTTTAAGTGAAACCAATCATATTTAAGTCGCGGCTCAAATTCTTTAAATTCGGGCTCTGATCAGAAATAAATATAATAAATAAGTAAATATAAATTCTTCATTGAATTATTAATCCGTTATACTTGCATCGTGAAGTCGTCGACTGGTAAGGTAAATTGTCTCAGTTTACACCGTCAGGTTTTAAAGATATATGAATTTGAAAATTTGAGTACGTGGCGAAGAAAAATAAGAAAATTTAAACTTATTGTATAATTAAAGTACGCTAGAATAAAAACAAGTAGGTTAGTTCATGCAAATAATATCGTTTTGAAAAGGCTTGCAGCAAAGTAACCATTTGTTTTAGCTGATAATGTTCATTTTCTATGATTTTTCTAACGAAACATTTTCCAACCCTATCATTATTTGAATATGATCTAAAAGGTTTACAGATAATGTTAGGTTAGACATTTATCAGTTTTTCTTTTAGTTTTGGTAATTTACAGGGAGCTTAAGCACTCTAGTATGCCGAGCCCATTAGCGCCTGATCCAATCAGGGTTCAACCATGTGTTTGGTGTCTATTCTGAACCAATAGAAATTGCATGGCGGTAACATCTATCTTTCTATCTATCTCATTATCCAATTAGAGATAAATCCTTATTGCGGCGCTTTACACTAAATGGAAATATTTACTTCTAAAGAATCTATAAGGCCTGTAAAAATGTTAAAATGTTTTCTAAAGGAGTTGAGTTTTTGCCACAAACTCTGATTTTCTAATCTCTATATCTTTGTAACCCAATGTCGTAGACCTTAGATATTTCAAACTATTAATACTTAAAGATAAAATAAGCTAAGTTTGAAATATCAAAGGTTTTCACCATCAGGTTGCAAAGATATTGGGATCAGAAGATTTAAGTTTGTGGCAAAAACTCAATTCCTTTCGATTTCTCTTTAGAAAAAACTGCAAAACTATTAATTGCTGGTATTACTTTAATGTTAGAATATGGTTTTGCTTGAACAGGGATTGAACGAACTGTAGAAGAGAAAGCAGAATGTGTTGTTCAGTTCTTGGATAAGAATATAGCTCTCAATGTTCTCTGCGCTATGGCAGCATTCTTCCTACCTGCAACAATCATGTGCGGACTATATCTTAGGTTAGTACTCACCAATTATTTATATAAATATTCTAATTTAATGGAATAAAAAACGTAATTTGAGTAACTCTTCTGCTGGGGTACTTGAAAACCAGGATATGCTGTGGGGGGGGGTCAATTTGAACCCCCCCCCTCCCTTCTAAATCCCATGTTTGATGTCCAAATATGACAAATGATTCATCATTGGAAAGCTCTTGTGCTCTACTTTTAGAATCTGCAAAAAAATTAGCAAAACTTGTGCAATTCGTTTCCTTATGTCAAAGGCTTTCCAAAAAGCTAAATCTTATCAAAATTTGACAAGTGGAAGTGGGTCAAAACAAAGATTTAGTTACAGGAAAATTCAGTCATTTAATACTAACTGCCTGAGGACTCAGGCAGTTAGTATTAAAGCCTGGTTTTAGGCCTAAAGGGAGGGCTTTGGGTATGTAGGAAAAATCAGAAAATTTCAACAGCCTCAGACCAATACTTTTTGAGTTATGTAAAAAAAAACTACAGTGGAGGGTCAAATTGACCCCCCCCCCCCCCAGCAGGAATAGGGTTAAATCATAAAAAATTAGTGTTTTTCTTCTGTTTAAAATGTCATTTTATGCTTGTCGAAACCTTTGTAACCAACCTTATGCAGATGCACTCTAAAAAATGTTTAAAAAATTAAGTTTCGAAGAGGGAATTTCTTCTGGAATTTCCTCGAAGCCGTTAATGTTTATTCTTTCAGTAAATTTAGAATCTGTTTATTATTCAGAGTTAGGTTAAACTTGGAGACCTTTCTGCCATTTGTTTTGATTAAAATCCTAAATTCCCGGAACGATCTGTTATAGTTACTTAGCGGCTAGATCAAATAAAGGATCATTATACACACTTGTACTTTGCAAAATTTAAGAATAATGAGCTGCATTGATTTTCTATTTCTGGATCACTGTGCTCTTGTCAGGCTACATTTTTAATAAAATTTTTTTGGTCGACTTTACATGCACTTGGTAGTCCAGACTGAATATTACGCCTGAATCCATCTGCATATGCGTTACATGAATTGAACCGACTTGGATCATGCCACTTTAAGCCACGTCGCGGAAGCAAAATGTCAGATTTGATACCTTCTATACAAACCAAGAATTTAATCATCTTTAATTCGTTCATATTGATCCGTATTGATATGAGTATATATAAAAAAAAACTACCTACGGTACCAATACAATTGTGAACTAGGAAGACGACATTAAATCAATATTATGTAATGTACGTTTAAATCGTAACATTTAACCTTTAGCTTTGAAACCGACGTACAATAAACTTGAAATAGACCAGGATACAATTGCTGCTTTTCATGTCCTTTAAACATAAATTCGTCTTCCAATTTCACAGATTTATGGGTCGTATACTGTACAATTTTATATATTTATATTGCAGGGTTTGGTGGGAAACAGTTAAACGGCAACGTGATTTGGTGCACCTGCAGGCAGGCAAGAAAATGAGCAGTAAACGATCTGATTCAAGGTACATTCAACCTAAATAAAGTCTGACCGTGTCAACAACCTTGTTGAACCGGGTAGTCCTGTCCATAGAGCTATGTACAGTACAAACTGGGACCGGAAGGATTGAACCCGCTCGGAAATTCAAATGTACTCCGGCTGCCTGTGATATATATATTATATATATATAGTTGTAATCTCTGTAAGGTTGTTTGTTTGTTTGTCCGATCATAACTCAGGAAACCCTTGACCGGATTCTTGTAAATTTTGATTAGAGATTAGGGTAGGTGAATGTTCTTATAGCTTGGTTTGAAAGTTTTAAATTAAGAACTGCGACTCTTGTAGAAAAAAAAATAGTTTCCAGGCAAAGTGTTGGTTCCTGCAAAGTGTTGGTTCCTGCAAAGTGTTGATTCCTGCAACTAGTTTTGGTTCCTGCAACTAGTTTGGTTACTGCAGCTAGTTTATACAAAACAAAATACAGATCATCACGTAAACCTGACTACAACACTGCTGACCAAAGAAATTGAGTTTTTGCCACAACCTCAAATTTTCTTATTTCAATATCTGTGCAACCAGTGGGTATAAATATTTGAAATTTCAAACTCAGATTATTTGACCTAACAGAATCAATAGTTTGAAATATCTAAGGTCTACGACATTGGGTTGCCAAGATATAGGGACAAGCAAGGATTTTGCCGATTAACTCTTTTCAAATTGAAGCTAGAAACAAGCAAATTACAGTTTTAACATATACATGTACAAAAAAGAATAATCGACTTTAGTAAGGAATAAGCAAAGTCAACACGGTCTTAAAATCTGATGAATAACTTTCATAGTTGTCCAGATATATGTGACAACGAAGTGTATTGTGTCTAGTTTGTAGTGTGTATTGAGTAGTCATGTTTTCATCTTCAATTCAAAATCCGTCAAGATTATCGTAAAACACATTATTTACATAAACATCTAAAATTCATGCCGCAACCAAAAAAATATAATATAAAGATAGGAAAAGTATACCTTCAATGGGTTTATATTTGTTCTGAAGGCCATCTAGTTTACCGTTACTTGGTCAACCCCTGAACACGATACATTAATGACGACCTAAAACTTTTTTTATTTGATGATCGACGGAACCGATTTGGCAAGTTTTTCTGTGACAACTCGTATAATCACAGGGAAAGTTTATGGATCGTTTTATTTGAAAATTTTCTTTTTGGTCGGAATTCGAGGAAAGATGGGTTTCCAATTTTGGGTTCTTCCATCAAGCCAAGCAAATTATATAAAATAAAGTGTTATATTAGTTTAATTACATTATTTTTAGCAAATTTATTGTTTACAAGAGTCCTTATAAATGAAGTGGTCTGAAATGTACTTGTATATAAAAGCTAAACTTGGATAAACAAACTAAAGAGGGAGAGGGGAGATTACTTTTAACCAGACCTTAAACATATTACGTAAAACTAAAGTTGCGTCAACATTGAAACAGTTTCTTAAATCAAATTGAATTGGAAAAGTACACATTTAGACATTTACGTTACAAGAAATTTGTTGGAATTGAAAATTTCACGTTTTTATGTAATTTTAGCATTAAAGGATATTATTTACTTAATTCTAAGTGACTTTAAGCATTCAAAGACTTCCTTTTTTATGTAATGCATATTTTTGTTATAATTTCAAACAATTTAAATTCATGTCTTTTCTAAAGAAAAGTCCTTTTTTGAGAAAAAAAATTAGAACTTCAAACCAATTTTATGCTTTTATTTATTTTAAAAAATAGTTTATTGGTTGTAATTGTAGATTTTGTGCTTTAATGTCAAAAGTTTTGTTTAGTTTGAGAATAGTTTACTTTAAGTTTCCTGTAAGGAAAAAAGTCTTTTTAAAGTTTAGATATTGACTTAAGAGGCAGGAAAAGCAGGAAAATGGCCTATACACTGTTAAAATGTTAAAAAATACCTAAGGATTTGTCCAAACATTATCAAGTTGTGAACTTTATGTTCGTAATTGTGAACACAATTTTTTGGTTATCTCTCAAAGGAACTGAGTTTTTTCCACAAACTCAAAATATTTGAGTCTTTGCCACAAACTCTGATTTTCTAATCCCTATATGTTTGTAATCCAATGTCGTAGACCTTACATATTTCAAACTATGAATGATGTTAGATCAAATAGTCCAAGTTTGAAATATCAAAGGGTTACACCTTCCGGTCGCAGAGTTATAGGGATTAGAAAATTTGAATTTGTGGCAAAAACTCAGTTTTTTTATAGTCCCTATTTTTTGCAACCTGCATTTTAAACTTGAACTGTATGATCTAACAGAATTTATATTTTAAAAAAATCTAAGGTCTACTAAGTTGAGTTGCAAAGATATAGGGATTAGAAAATCATAGTGTGTGTCTAAAATTCGGCATTTTTTAATATCGGGGAAAGTAATTTTTCATAAATACCGAAGTTTAAACATTATGTTGAAAATTATGTACACAAAGTTAGGAATATCTGAACATTTATCATATACAGAAAACTGAACACTTTATACACGTATAATACTTTATACTTGAAATACTTTGTAAAAGAAATCCACAACATTCTTTTCTTAACAAAGTATTTCGACAAGAACTTTTACATTAATAATAATAGGTACGGATTTAAAAATATTATCTGAAAGCAATGAAGATGTAAAAATACATACGGGTTTATCAAGTTGGATGAGATTATAAAGACGACATAAAACTATTAAAATGCGACAATTCCAAACTTAAATTAGATTGCCTTGAATATGGTCATTTAATTGCGTATTGAATGATTTGGCAAAAAAAGAAAACACGTTTTCCTAGTTGGAAGAAATCTTGAATATGAGAAAATATACAGTATAAACTTCGTACGGTCGTCTATGAAGTCTCATCATTTGTGGTTCACTCTGTATTTATACAGCTAAGAAGCAAAGAACAAAACTGGAAGGTTCTCTCTGTATATGTACAGCTAAGAAGCAAAGAACAAAACTAGAAGGTTCACTCTGTATATGTACAGCCAAGAAGCAAAGAACAAAACTAGAAGGAAAACAAGCAAAATAACAAACATTTTTCTCAATTACGATAAGGATAATATCGTATGTTTTCTATTCTAAAAAGTCGTGATGTCCAATATCTTTACATTTACAGAGAAACCCCAATTGAAAATAGTCAATATTTCTGCAGGAAAACCAAGGATGTCTCATTAAACCTTGATTAGAAAAACTGTTTTGAATTCAATTTGTCAATAAAAATATGTTCGAAATAACCCCTACCCTTCGTCCCCCTAACCCTCCCCCCTTTTATTCCCCACCCCTTCTCGTCCTCATTCTCTCTTCCCTTCTCCACCTTTTCGTCCTCATTCTCTCCTCCCCTTCTCACCCCTTCTCGCCCTCATTCTCCCCTCCCCTTCTCCCAACCCCCCCTCCCATCCCCTTCTCGTCCCCATTCTCCCCTCCCCTTCTTCCTCCATGTTTCCCTTCTCCCCTCTTCTCCCCCTGATGTTGGAGTTGGATGAGGTATTTAGTGTTTATCCAAAACTAATTATGTTTGGTTCCATTAACACTGTATAGAGAGGGATAAAGGAACTATTAGTGAGAACTCAGAATATACATTATATTTACTATTTTCACATTTATTCAATAATTATTTTACATTATTTCACAATTTTCAATTTTATAAACGTAAAAATATTTATTTTTAAAATTGAATTATAATTAAAGTTGTTTTTTATAAATAACAAAATCTTGTGTTGATCGGTTTTAAAAGTTGTTTGATCTGTTTGCAGTTCAAATTATTTGTTAAATGACAAAAAACTATTTAAATTTATATTTAATCATTGTAAAGTAGTTGTTACAAGTGTTATTATTATATATTTATGAGACACTAACTTGGGAACTAAGCTTTACCTGAAAACTAAAATTTTGCCAAAAAAGTCAACGCACTTAATTTTTTCCATGCTAAAACAGATAAATGGGTAAAATTATTTGGATAAATTCCTTTAAGAAGGATCGACTTTGCTTGTTCAATTGAAATGTTTATAATTTGTAAAATTTTGCAAATTTTTTATAATTTGAATTGTCAAATTAAAATCGTGATCTAAAATCATTATTGTAAATATATATTTATATATATGAGGATGAATATATAAGTTTTTTTGATTGAATAATAAATTGATTATATACATATATCTCAAATTGTATAATTTGTGCTTTACTGGTAAACAAAATATTAATAACTAGCTGAAGGACCCGGATTGCCCATGGAAAAAAAAAACATTTTGGGAAAAAAGTTTTAGAAAAAAAAATATATTGAAAAAAAATTGAATTTTTTTTTGCCTTTGTCACCCCCGGCTAACCATGAGTGTCCACGAAAATTCAGCCCATTCGGCCAGCCGTTTGGCCGGCCAAAAGGAACATGTATACAAATGTCTTGTTATGTTATAAAGACTAATTAATTTATCTAAATAGACGATGTTTTTTTCTACCATGACTATAAAGCTCAAATTTCAATCAAATATCTGACTCATAAAATGTTCATAAAAGATACATTGATGATGGAAACAACAGATTTCTTTACATACAAACAGTCAAACTGAACAACAAATAGTTTAAATAAATATAGGAAAAATTAATGAAGGAATCTTTTAAAGGTAAAAAAAGGGTCTAAAATGACCCAAATTACAAAATTTTAGATTTAAAAGTTAAATATTGTCTTAGAAACGGTTTTTCGTTTTATTAATTGGGGGGGGGGGGCATTCGACTCAACTTTTGTTTAGGTTTTTTAACAAAATTAATTTTACCCGAATTTTTTCAATAGAACGCTAGAGCCATGATTGCTTAAAGTAAAACTTTTTGTCACAAACTCAAATCTTTAATCCATATCTTTGCAATCTGATTCATTGATATTTCAGACTCAGATTACTTGATTAAAGAGAAATCACAGCTTGAAATATCTAAGGCGTACGACATCAGGTTAAAAAGATGTTGGGATAAAAAAAAATAAAGTTTGTGGCAACCCCCCCCCCTCATCTTTAGAAAATCTTTTTATTTTTGTTTTAGAAGATATATATTAAATTTTTGCGTGGAGCTGAATTTTGTGTTATGGTTTGATTCGCTGAATAGGAAAAAATAAATGAAAAAGAACCTTTTTCATGTCAAATTTTTCATTTTTCCCCGATATAATCTAAATTCATCCCCTTGGGAGGCGAATTAATAGAAATATTCACCCCTGTATTTTTAGTGAAGAATATGGAGATTCAAAAATCCAGGATCTTAGTGGACTAACTCTTGTTAAAACTGGAAATACATTTTTGGTGAGTTTATTCTTTTTTTTATTTATTAACATTTTACAATTTTGTTTAATCTATTTTTATGAATTTTTTTGTTTCTCATTCGGACCAAAATTTACTTATTTACCCATTCATTTAAACCGTAATAATTCACAATTCAAGGACCTTGATTTTCAAAATTTAATTTAATCCAAAGTGTCTGTGCTTTTAAAGGGACTGTTAAGGTAAAATTACAGGGGGTATAGGCTGAAGCCTGAAAGAGTTAGGAGTTAATTCGAGCAATATGTGAGTTCTGATGTCCATGTCTTGAAAAATTAAACTGCGTCAAAGTTATAGCAAAACTCATATATGTGATACGTATATGAATCAAAGTTTTATATAGCTTATATTGCTGAAAATGATCTTTATAAAACCTACTACTTTTACACAAAATTGCATATATATGGATTTTCGTATAATTTTTACACAGTTTTATATCAATTTCTCGAGACAGGAACATTAAATAGAAATCTTATATGTATCGATTAACGCCTGAGATTCTCAGGTTTTATCCTATACCCCCTTTCATTTTTCCTTTACAGTCCCTTTAAGGACGAATTTTTACTTGTAAGGACACTAAGTAGTGGAATAAAAGCGTAGGTTTTCTAATACCATAATCTTTAGCATTGTAGCAGTCTATTTTCCTTTTTATCATTTTAATTTCCATCCTTATTTTTGATACTATTATCTGTCACTTTATCATATCATTCTATTACAAGGGTTATTCGATTTACATTTGAAAAAATCACTTCTAAAACATCAGGTTTGTAAAATATAAAAATATATCCTGAGCTGAAAACTTTAGAATTAAATATCCTTAATCCCGATCAGTTAATTTATCTGTAGATTAATAACAAGAGGAGAACAAGCAATATTTAATCTGGAGATTTAGAAAAAGAGGAGATCAAGCATTGATCTCGATATCCACCATTCTAAAGTTTTCAGCTCTGAACCTTTATATAATGTATTCCTGGAAATTAATCTATCTCTGTTCTAGATATTCTTCCTAACTTGACTATATCCTGAACCAGATATTATTCATTCAATTGTTCTCTGTCCTAGATTCCTGGATACTTATCTATTTCTGTCCTAGATATTCTTCCTAACTTGACTATATCCTGAACCAGATATTATTCATTCAATTGTTCTCTGTCCTAGATTCCTGGATACTTATCTATTTCTGTCCTAGATATTCTTCCTAACTTGGCTATATCCTGAACCTAGATATTATTTACGAACATAGTGCTTTTTTCGTACCAACTTGTAAAACCCATCATTTTTTACTGAAGGAAAGTATTAAAATACAAGGTTTCTAACAAACCCTTACTTTTATTATAGAAACTAAATGATAAAATGATTAGTAGTGTAAGTAATAACAAATGACAATTGTTTTTTTGATTCTGAATCCTTTTTGATTTTTCTGTGAAACAGTCAGAAAAAAAGTTATTAACAGTTGTAACTTCAAAAATTTGAAATATGTGAAAATCCGCAAAAAATCAGAAAAATGCTTACAGACACATACCTACCATATCCAAGTAATTTTAGCGGCTGAACCCCATTTTTGATACCTTTGTATTAGAGTGTTCTCCCTTTTCTTGTGTAAAAGCAATTTACAACTAATTTGATCTACTTTGTGCAAATGACATCGTTATAATCACTTTCTTTCTTTAACTGTGAACACAATAAAGGCTGGGTTTATCCCTGGGTTTTTCAAAACTGGATTAATTATAATGTTTATTAACGGTATAAATTTTAATTCTTCCAATTTTAGTTGGTTCTCGATATCTATATATCTATATATAAATTTGGCTTGTCTGTTTGTTTGTTTGTCTGTTTGTTTGTATCCAATAAACGTCAAAACGGCTGAACCGATCGGGCCCAAATTTTTTGTGGGACATCTAGGGACCCCAGGGAAGGTTTATGAAAAATCAAAATTTCAAATATTTGTCTCCATCAAAATTCGATCGTCATTAAATTTTTAAAAATTTTGAAAATCCGCGAAATTTTTTGTGAAAATCCGCGAATTATTTTTGTTTTGTTTTACGATGTACACAAAGAGAACATGTTCACAACTAATTTAGAAGATGGGCGCGAAGCGCCCTCTAAGGCTAGAAAGAAGGGCGCGAAGCGCCTTGAATTCTAGTATATATATACTTTGTTTGTCTGTTTGTTTGTATCCAATAAACGTCAAAACGGCTGAACCGATCGGGCCCAAATTTTTTGTGGGACATCTAGGGACCCCAGGGAAGGTTTATGAAAAATCAAAATTTCAAATATTTGTCTCCATCAAAATTCGATCGTCATTAAATTTTTAAAAATTTTGAAAATCCGCGAAATTTTTTGTGAAAATCCGCGAATTATTTTTTGTTTTGTTTTACGATGTACACAAAGAGAACATGTTCACAACTAATTTAGAAGATGGGCGCGAAGCGCCCTCTAAGGCTAGAAAGAAGGGCGCGAAGCGCCTTGAATTTCTAGTATATATATACTTTGCTTGACTATTTGTCTGTTTTTTTTGTATTCAATAAACGTCAAAACGCTGAACCGATCGGGCACCTCACATGACCCCATGGGAAGGTTCATGGATGATCAAAATTTTAAAAATTAGACCCCAACAATTCCATTAAATTTTGAAGATCCACGAAATTTGTTTAACAAAATCCGCCAACTGTTTTTCTTTTTTCTTTCCAATGTATACAAAGATATAATTTTCACAATTAATAAAGATTATGGGAGCGAAGCGCCCTGAAAGCCTAGTATATATTAAGTTGTAATCTCTGTTTTCTTGCTTGTTTGTACGTCCGGTCATAACTCATGAAAATTTTAGTTGAGTGGGTTGGATTATATAGTGAAAGTTTAGTTTCTAGTTAAAGCTCGGTTCTCAAGCTAGTGTGTTATTAATAGATTTTCCATGTGTTTTCCTCTTAATTAAGCCCTTGCCACAAACTCTGATTTTTTAATCCCTATATATTCCCAACCCAATGTTGTTAACCTTAGATATTTTAAACCATGAGTATAATGTTAGATCAAATAGTCTAAGTTTGAAATGTAAAAAGTTTACACAATCAGCTTATAAAAAAATATTTAAATTACCAAAGGATTTTTTTTGTTAATATATAATCGTTTTTTAATTAAGACTGTAATATTAGATTTACATTGAAAACCGCTTTCTTGCAAATTGTACATCTCCTGCCACTTAATCTTATTTTAACATAAGCAAAAAGCATTACTTACTTAATTCACTCAACTTTTAAATTTACAAATTTTAAACCAAGAACATTCCCATCGATCTATCAAGTTCCCCAATACTAATTTGAGGCAAATCAATCTAAGGCATGTTGAGTTATATATGAAATGCCATATCCAAATAAACAGATAGACAGACAGCAAACTGAGATTACTACTTTTTATGAATACTACTTTATATTTCAGTTTTTAAACTTCTCATTTTGTTATACTTTATATATATAGGAATTGAGCCCTTACCACAGATTCAGATTTTCTAATCCCGATATCTTTGAGAAACAACGGATAGCAATTCAATTTTTCGATTAAATAAGAAGAAAAAAGTAATTTTAAAATTAAAGAACTAAAATTTCTATTAACATATATTTATTTTATTGCAGTGAGTCAGAACTTTTCAGTTTAATGGTCCCCTTGAGTCCAAATAATGTTTATAATAAAACGATTTAAACTTTGAAACATATATTGAACATAAAAAAAGAAAGTCATACCCATTCTTTGAATCTTAAAGAGACTATATGTAATTTCAAACACCAGAACTTCCGCCAATGGCAGTGCAGTATACTGGTCAAGTGATTTCCGTCTGTATCAAGTGACAATGATACTGCACTGCCATTGGCTGAAGTTCTGGTGAAGTAATACCGGACTATAATGGAATAGAATTATCAATTTTATCTATTAAAAATAAAAAATTTAAATAAAAAAAACTATAGAAGAAGCAAACCTGAGATTCTAAGGCTCCTGTGGGATATAATCGTTTTTAGTTTGGTTGCGTATTTGCTGACTATGATCTGTTTAAACCTAATGCTTTTATACAAAATTTATATATATATATGAATTTTCGTATAATTTGGACGCAGTTTTATATCAATTTCTCGAGACAGGAACATCAGATAGATGTCTTATATGTATCGTTCTACGTCTGAGATTCTCAGGTTTCATCCTATACCCCCTTTCATTTTTCCTTTACAGTCCCTTTAAGAGTTGACCTTTATAAAGAAAGATTAGTTTCCATGCAAAGCTGGGTTCCAAAAGTTAGTTTCAGTAAAGTAAAGATTTTATTTGAAGCTTTTCTTACAAAATCTTAAAAGAGTTTTCCTTTTTTCTTTTTAAGTTGAAGTAATTCTATTATCACTTTTATTCCCCATTGTCCTTAGTAAAGGGGTTGTTGAGGTATAATTGTCGGATCAATGGTAAATTAGAAGATTTTTGGTAAAAGATAAGTGATCCTTCACTTTAGAACACATTTTTATGGGAGTTCTCGTACATACTTTTTTATACTTTGATGTTTACATCCCCCTCCAGCAATCCCGTTTTTAATACTGTCTCCGTGATTTTTTTAATCTTTAGAAATATTAGATTAAAGGATTTCTTAAAATATTTTTAGTAATACATAGCGTAGGGATTAGGGAACATAGTGTAGGGATTAGGGAACATAGCGTAGGGATTAGGCAACATAGCGTAGGGTATATGTAACATAGCGTAGGGATTTTAGGGAACATGACGCTCGACGAGTCAGTAGGTTCAAATTATAAAATTAATATGTGATAGAACAAAAGTTTAAATTTTTTCCATTTTTCCGATCTTTTTTGACATTTTGCCAAACCTCCCTAGCTGGCCTGAAGGGTCTGAATCTATGCATATACGCCCCCCCCCCCCATAGAAAAGGCCGTAGAAGTATAGGGTAATATAAAATGCATGTTCATAGCCCAATTTTTTATGGCCAGCTTATTGAAAAAAAAATAGATCGATAACTTTTATAGTTTTGGTGCTATGGGAGGATTGAAAAAAATACTAAAAGATGTAAAAAATATGTAATTTGTTTCAATTGTTTAATTCAAAAATCAAAGTTTGGCGCATGTTTCTACGTCCATTTTTCAAGGGCTTTTTTATAAGTACAGTTTTTTAGTTTAGTTTAGTTTTTTAATCATAAAAAAGTTTAGATTTGTTTTTTCACAGACCGGACTTTTTACCGCCCTGCGGCAAGGGCTGTAACCTACCTTATGCATATAAAAAAAAATTACAAAAAATCCTTTAAATTTCTTTTAATTAAAAGTCAAGAAATTTCACACTGATAGTGTCAAAAATGAGAGTTACTTTAAGACCTTTTTCTAGAAGATGAATGGGGGTCACGGGATGCCTCTAGGCTATCCATAGATCCCCCCCCCCAGCCCTGATAGGGTTAAAAATATAAATATTATATTTGAAGAAATTAATCACTGTGATTTGCATTCAATGAGATTTTCATCAACAACTTCTTTCTTACTATATAGCTAAAATCAAGTGTTTTTAGATTCAAAATGTTGCCTGTTTAGGACTACAAAAAGCATAAATGACCCTGCACTTAAAAATTGATGCAACATTTTATAGAAGTCTGAATCTATGTGAAATTACGAAATATTATGAAATAGGTTTAGAATTTGATTAGTATATTGAAACTCTTATTTTCAGCAGTGCTGCAATACCATTTGCAGTTTAGCTGGAATTTCATCAAAAAATTCCTTTTCTTCACAGTTCCTTTGTGTATTTTAAAACTCAAGATAAATAAGTGATAAAGAATTAAGTATTTGCCACAAACTCTGATTTTCTAATTTATCATATCTTTGCAACACAATGTCGCAGATCTTAGATATTTAAAATCATAAATTCTTAGGTCACATAATCTAAGTTTAAAGGGAAAGACCGGCAATGTATGGTATTTAAACTGAGAATGTAGTTTTGTGGAGAAATTTTATAGGATTCATTTGAGACATAAAACGATTCAATGATGTATAATTACTGAGTTTGAGCACAAAGCCGACGTTCAAAATCATTCATTTGGGTGGTGACGTTTTAAAAATCGATTTTTTCTCAATCCAACTACCATACATTGCCAGTTACTTCCTTTAAATTACCAAAGGTTTACATTTTTAGGTTGCAAAGATATAGAGGTTAGAAAATTTTATTTCAGGTGGAATAATCGCTTCCGTTGACGTTAATTTATTATATTTCTAGTTAAATGGGGAGCAGAGTCGGCGCAGTAGAATCCCTCTTCCTATTCAGAATATAATCTCAAGGATTAGAAGAGAAGAAACACAAGAAACAAGGGATTCAAATACCTTCTTTCTCTTTTAAATTACATGCGACAGTGAGAGCCAGACAACTGTTGAATACTAAGCTACAAATTTAAACTTAAATTATGATTAGTTTAATGTACATGAGGTACAGCTACTGTGCAGTATACATGAGGTACAGCAACTGTACAGTGTACATGAGGTACATCAACTGTACAGTGTACAAGAGGTATATCAACTGTACAGTGTGCATGAGGTACAGCAACTGTGCAGTGTACATGAGGTATAGCTACTGTGCAGTGTACATGAGGTACAGCAACTGTGCAGTGTACATGAGGTACAGCTACTGTGCAGTGTACATTAGGTACAGCAACTGTACAGTGTACATGAGGTACAGCTACTGTGCAGTGTAAATGAGGTACAGCTACTGTGCAGCGTACATGAGGTACAGCAACTGTGCAGTATACATGAGGTACATCAACTGTACAGTATACATGAGGTACAGCAACTGTGCAGTGTACATGAGGTACAGCTACTGTGCAGTGTACATGAGGTACAGCAACTGTGCAGTGTACATGAGGTACAGCTACTGTGCAGTGTACATTATCTGTGAAACAGTCAGAAAA